AATATTTATTCTAAAATTGGACATTATTTTACGAACAATCTAATACATCATTTCCGTTAATTTCTTCTTTCACCGACTGCAACTTACATTGATCAAATGGTAAGAGTGAAATTAGCTGTTTCTATACAGGACACTTTTAGCATTCATTTACTGGAAAATAGGAAAATAGTCTTTTAATATCCACTGTTGTCACTGTCTTGAACATATAGGAGTTTTCTCTCTCTCTCTCTCTCAAATAGAATCCCTCCTAACAAATATACACCTGATACTAACTCAAATGAGGGCGGGGGGATTCACATGCACCCCAAGCAACCTTTGTTACCCTCTCCCTCCCCGAATGAGTCTTTTATTCATCATACTTATTATAAAACCCAGGTTGTGTGTATGTGTGTGTGTGTGTCTGTACGTTTATATATTGAATTGGATTTCCTACATTTTTCAACCGATTTCAACAAAACTTCCCAGGACTATGGAAAATTACCTTGTGGTGGTTCTGACAGCGCCAAAAATTGGAAAACGCAATTGTTTTTGCACAAAATCAATTTGAAAACACGATTAAGAGGCATCGCAAGAATGAAAGGGGGACAACGCATATCGAGTTATACTTATTATAAAAACCCAGGTTGTTTGTGTGTGTGTGTGTGTGTGTGTTCCTTTATATATGGGATCCGATTTCCTACATTTTTCAACCGATTTCAACAAAACTTCACTTTTTTTTGGCAGGTAGTGTTTCTTATTTTCTTGCACACTTTTTTCTTTATTTTTACATTCAGAATGCTTTAAAAATTCCATTTACAAGACAACTGTTTATAATAAAATTCTATTCAATCGATAGACTCATAACGATTGAAAACAATGTTTTTGTTTGAGTATTGGTTTGACCAATTCGTAAAAAAAACAAAACAAAAAAAAAAAACTAATTAAGACATGCGTGTCTATCAACCTTAAACAATAATCTTTGTCAATTTTATTTTTCAGTCTTTATGATGGTCGATACTTGATCTATTTCTTACTGTTACATCCCCGGGCTACTGCTAGTCATGCATATGAGTGAACTTGCCTTGGTATCCTAGATCTCTGACTGATACAATGTTTCTGAACCAAGGAGGTGTTCTGTTGCCCTGACCTTTAAGTAGATGAAACATACACTCTGAGTATATCGACTGAATCTTTCCTGGGTTATTTGCCCCCTCAATAAGGGTGCTGGAGGTAAACGTTTTTGGGGTTTTGGCATTATCTGCTTGATAGGGATCCAAACCTTTGAGTAACTTCGAAGGAGGCTATCCTATCAGCAGGTGTATAATATTGCATCTATTGTATTGGCATCTTGTGAATGGTTTCTAGACTCTGCAGTAATCTCTGATGGGCCTCATGATACCATGATGATCAGTACTGTTATGACAGTATCTCCAGGTTGAGTCAACCCAGGTTATTTATGCGTGCATCTCCAATAGGGGTCTGTTCCCTTCCAAACCGTTTGTTTACAGTCATATAGAATGTAAGTCTTGATTATACCATTATTTTTCCTTCTAGTTACATGTGCTACCCAATTTAGTTGTTGCTGCTGTTGGAAGTCTTCAAATGTTGAGATGTTTGTTATTTGATAAAGTTCTTCGTGATTTTGCAGTATCAATCTATAGGGTCTGCTGAAGAATCGTCTTCTTTAAAACCAAGAGGATGCATTCACTTGAAAGCATTTTTATACATTGATCTGAAAAAACAATTGCATATCGAGAATAATTTGAACATTTCCAAGTGAGTTGGACACCATGAATGACATCCATACAAGAGTGGGGAGCAGATTTTGTTTAAATCATTTGGTTCTTTGGAAGCCATCAGTTGGGCTCATTCACTTATGCACAAATACCCATATGGGTTAAATAGAACTTTTTTTTTTCAAAGCATTTCACCTCAAGCAAGGTGGGATGCCACTAGTACGCAAGGGGTTACAGAGAATGGGAGCAAGAGTAAAGAGGCGTTGTTACGTGTTGATAATTGTAACAAAGGAAAAAAAAATGATTTACCACAACACAGAGCTAAATCACAAACGAATATTTAATTTACTAAAACACAACATAAAATATATACAAGATAAACAATTGTGGCCTACAAAACAGAAAACACAGAGTTACTGGCAAAGTGTTACGAGGGAGGAAGAAGGTGAGTCAAATATCTTTATCACTTTAGGGCTAGTGAAGTAATCTTAGTGCTATATTTGGAAATCCACAAAGGTGTGTAAATAAATATAAATTTTTAGTTTGGTCAATGAAAATTAGTCAAAATTCTATTTACCAAATTTGTTCCATGAAATTTTCTTTTGGGTTTTTGTTGGTCGGCAACTTTTTATAGAGATTCTTTCGGCTGGATATAATAATCCTTAAATTAAAAGCCGGAGTTGATACTGACAGCAATTTATTTTCACCAACTGACAACCCTTTTCCAAAATCCCATTTTTATAGGGGCTAACACCTAATTTGCATATTTCTAGATGTTTCTTGAATCATCTAGATTCTTCTCAAATATACTAGAATGATCTAGAATCTTCCAAATGTTCTATTTCAAATTTCTCTATTTTATATCTACTTCATGAAAGAAAACTTTTTTTGTATTAACAGGTAAGACTCAGTAGAATCCCTTACTATAAATTTTAACCTTATTGAGACTGTCTTGTTATAGAAATGCATACTCGTAACAGCGTGATAGAGGAAATGATAAAGCGGAGGACGGGGAATTAGATCAAGATATCTGGAGATGTCAATTGACATTACATTTGAATAGTTGGAGATTATAGCTATCAGGGAAACAAGTAATAGGAAGGGAATTGCACAGACGGGAAGTGCAAGACATGAAACTATTGGAGTAGAAGAGACGGCTACATTTAACTGTTTTGACAGTGAAAGGGTGGGACCATTCTAGTAGCACGTTTAAATTCATGCTGTCTGGGAACTAGCGAAAGTAACTTGTCGGAGCAGTTAATGTGAAATTATTTGTAGAAAAGACAGAGGGAGGCAATGACATGTCTGTGAGAGAGCGACTGTAGACGAGATGCCAGATCAGGGCCAATCACATTGCATATCCATCTCTATCCTTAAGATGAACAGCATGGACATCAGACCATATATGGCAACAGTATTCCATGCAAGGGCGAATGGTTGATTTATAGATTTGAAGGATGGAAATATTAGTTACACTCAAGAAATTGTATTCACTCACAGAAATTATGTTTCGGGTTTAAATAAGCCACAAAGAGTTGGTAAACTGTAAAAACAAAATAAATAGAATATGAAAAAAGATGTAGAAGTTCTTGTCATCATTGTAGCCTGTCTTTTCAGATTCAACCCATTTCCATCATGATGGATGGGTGTGGCTGATTACACCCACAACACAATTTTCCGCAAATAGGTCTCATGGGAAGACCTTGGGTTGGCAATACAGAAAGGATTCTGCCGGTGATGTTTTTGATGGTATTTCTCAACCTGCTGGACCAACTTTACTTCAGTGCTTTGAAGAGGTCACCAAAATGGCCTTGATGTGATCCTGGTAATACTTGTACTGATGGCCCCTTTTGCCAAACCCCAATTAAAGTGAGTAGTAGAGTCTGAACACTTCTATTCAACCCAAGGCTGGATGGAGAAAAAAACATGAAGCCATTAATGTAAAGTTAAGCCAACACACAATTTGAAGAAAAAGATTAGCAATGACAAAGTCTATTTCAGGGGTCGGCAACTCATTCAACCCCGCGGACCGGATCGTGTTATAATGATGGGTCGCGGACCGGATCGTGTTATAATGACGGGTCGCAGACCGGACGAAGGCCATTAATGAAAAATTAAGGAAAATTACATATGCAGACTCCTGTCAACCTAAATATTTAAAACCATAATGAAAATAAACATTGAGAAATCAGAAAAAAAAACAAAAGAAAATCTAAAATTAAAAAACAACTAACAAAAATTACTTTTCCTCAAGGAACGTCAAAATACTTCAAAGTGAAAAAATCAACCAAAATGAAATGGATGAAATTATGACGTGTAGGTTTGAAACTGTTATTGAAAATTGTTCCACAAACGAACCACACACACACATCAAACAAAAACGAAGCACATATACCCAATGCATACGAGTACAAATAGTTGCAAACATATACACTTACGTACGTACACATGCGGTATCATCCACACATTCATGAGGCATGTATGTATAATGCGGCGTATGTTTAACTGTCTTTAGATTTCTGCTACCTCGCATGTCAGTCCCTCCCTGGCCTCTTTCACTTTATCGCCCTTTCGCTTCTGTTATCTTTTAATGTAGCCAAGGGTCATAACAAATATGTATCCATTATTTGATATTAAACGTAGGCAATGCAACTTGGTAAAATAAGTCTCATGAAAGATAATTGGCAGATAGTCTAATTCGAAAGCCTCGTTTCTCATGTTAAAAATAGAGTCATTGGTAATCAGGCTCACGGGCCGGTCAAAATGCCTTCGCGGGCTGGATCCAGCCCACGGGCCGTAGGTTGCCAACCCTTGGTCTATTTCAAGATCAAGTTGAAGCAAGAAGATCACTTAATAGAAAAAGGTATCTGAGTGCCTCACATGAAAGGCTTGAACAAATAAGACTACAATTTAAGAAACCCAAGAGTAAAGGAACTGATTAATTAAATCGTTCATTTTGCTCAGGAAGTAATTTTTTTTAAATGCAGATAAATATTTTATTTGTATAAATTATTAAAAGGACTAACAGAAATAATCACTCATAAATTTACTAAATAAAGTTGATTTACCTCTTTTCCCACTACAAATGGGACAGGAAATGTATAAATAAATACACATTGATAATTATTATATGGTTTGATTGTTGTTAATTCCTTATTATGCCTAATAAGATCTACTGTAAGAACAAATCTTATGTCCACCATGTAACGTTTATTGCAATATATTGTTATAATTGTTCTATTTTATATTATTAGTGTTGATACATCTCTTATTGGGAGTAAGACTTATGGCCATATCATGTTGAAATACCAGTTCTCATCAGATCACCTAAGTTAAGCAATATCAAGCCTGGTCAATACCTAGAAGAGTGATATTTTGGGAATACCAGGTACTGCTACTATAAGCTTAAATTTGCCAAGGTGTTATGTATAATGACTTGCAATTGGAAATCAGAGTTCCAATTTCAGTCGAGTTTTTCTATATTCATTTTTACACAAATACCCTCAGGAAAGGTATGAATTCACCTCTTCTCCCCCCATTGATTATGGGTTAAATCATCATCATCTTGCGGCTTCAGCCGAGATTGAACTCACCAATACTTTGATTGGTGTAGTTCATAATCTTGTCAAATAGCTGAATTCTTGATGCTTCGCTAGGGCTATCAAGGGTGTTTTTATCGTGACACCATCACTAAATGGATTGCCAACCAAGGCTCAGAGAGACTCCATTCACCCTCCTCTAAGAGCAGGTTTTGAATTCAGAGTTTTCCTTCTCCTAGACCAGTTGCCATCCAAGGCTATAGAACCCAGTCTGTCCTACTATTTACCCATAGCTGGAAGGAGAAGAAAGAGGATTCATACCTTTCCCAAGGGTATTAGCATGTAAGTGAATGTAATGGATTCAACTGGAATTTGAACTCGGCTCTCCGATTCCTCAATCCAAGCTGCTATCCATTACTCCACCGTGCCTCCAATGGGTTAAATAGTGGAACTTGTATCAGTAAATGATTATTATCTCTAAAAACTTCTTACAATCCCTCACTATTTTCTGGCTTTAAATAACCTGCAAAGGGCTGATAGACCATAAAAAAATGAATCAATCAATAATTCGGCCCAATAAGAACTCTGGTAAGAACAAATCTTTTGTACGTCACATAACTTTTAGTCACTGCATATTGTTATAATTGTTTTATTTTATTATTAGTCATTGTTGTTAATTTCTTATTGTAGTAAATTTACGACTCAAACTCTTCCACGTATGTATCACATTAGGTTCTCTATATTATTCACATTCAGACTAACTTCCTCATCTTTGTTATATCATAATGTTTCAACTGTTATATCCTCTGGCCTTCTTCAGGTGCCTGTCGATCCAAATAATCTTCATGGAAAATTGAACTGAAGCCATTATTTAATGTACAGGGGGTAGATTATTAAAGGGAGATAACTAAGGCATCTGGCACGTGGAACTAGAACAATCTGCCTCGGTGGATGAAATATAGGGTTCAATTTGAAATTCCAAACACCTGAAGAAGGCTGGAGCATACAACGGCATAAACATTAGGACTATGGCATTAAAGATGGGGACAACAGTCCGAACAATGTAAATAATGTAAATCCCTCATCTCAGAAATGTAGACAGATGCTTAGGGATATCTTGTTAGACTGACACCTGAAGAAGCTGCAGGACCCAACAGCTGAAACATTGTGATAAATAACAACAAAGATGAGGACATTATCCAAATGTCAATAATTTACAGAAAATATAGTTAACTGGGTTTACTTAATTACCTTTGACCTCCTTGAGATCAAGGGATAAATACCTTCATATTCAGAATTTCATAATTGTATAAAATATAGAATATAATTGTATAAATATAGAAAATATAGGAAGGTCTCTCCTTACCTACCTTTTAAATTTTAAGAAATGTTTGAGGCATTAAAAAGACCAGTTTAAAAAGTTAAATTTAAATTTAAAAATTTAAATTTAAAATTTCAATTTAAAAATTTTGATAGTCAATGGAAAAAAGTTTAATGGAGTGCATTTCCATCTCCAATTCTTTGTTTAAATGAAAAAAAAAAACAAAAAAACAAATAATAACCCATTTGTGAAAAGAACAATCACTAGTGATGAAAAGTGGTTTGTTTACAATAATGTGGAGCTAAAAATGTTCTGGGAAAATTTAAATGTGCTACCATTAACTACTCCAAAAGCAGGTCTGTATCTTCAAAAACTGATGTATACCAGTTTTCATCAGATCACCAAAGTTAAGCAATGTCAAGCCTGGTTAGTATTTAAATGGATAACATTTTGAGAATACCAAGTGCTGTACGCTTGGATGTTGAGGTGGTGTAATGTATAACAGTGCACTATTGGAAATCAGAGAGCAGAGTTCCAATTCCATTTGGGTTTGTTATACTCACTTACATGCAAATACCTTTGGGAAAGGTATGGATTCACCTCTTCGCTCCCTTCCCCAGCTATGTGTTAAATAGTAAGATTTTTATCAGTAAATCATTATTCTCTGCTTAAATGTAGAAACAAAAATGAACCATTTTAGAAAAAGAACAATCACTGGTGATAAAGTGTTTTTTTTTTTTACAACAATGTGAAGCAAAAAAGGTCTTGATGGAATTGGAAGGACATAGCATATTACAAGCCCTGTCAGCAAAAATCAGACATTGAATTTTTAACTGGACCAATTAAAGGCAGAAATTGATGAAAAGCACTTGCAACTGGTCAATTGGAAGGGTGTCATCTTCCATTAGGATAATGCCAGATCTCAAGTTCAGCAAAAATTTCTACAGCTTAATTGGGATCTCATATTATACCTGCGATATTCACCTAACCCATCACCTTCAGATTGCCACTTATTCAGAAGTGGCAATTTTTTGATCAGGGACACTGAGAATATCCCAGCTGACCTGCATTCATTGATAATGACAAAATCGAAATGCTGATTAAAAATAATCCAAGTTGCAAAGAGAATTGATCTTGCGATTATTTTCTTTTTATTTATTTTTCCTCGGCGTGTGATCTTTTCTCTTCAAAGCTTTTAATTCATTTCCAATAATAATATGTGAACGTTAGGGGATCCCCTGTGACAATCATCATCACTGCCATAGAATATAGAAACAGTGACAAGCAAGATTATTCCGATATTTCAATTCCCTGTCTCTGTCTTGCACTCTTTAATAAGAGCATGAGTTCATCCTGCATCAAGAACATGTGACAACAAGCCAGTCTCATAACATAACATTAAGTAGATTGTTTATTTCTCAATGGGTGTTTTAATTATTTTTACACTGCTGTTTCACCCAAAGCCCAAGAGCCACTCAAGGTAGAGGGTTACTGAATGATGTTGTAAGGGTATAAAACATGAACATGATGAACATTTATAATCATTGGAGAGACCCCTTTCTGCCTTCCATCAGCATGGCTGATGCTGACCTCCAGAAGAGTGAATCATTGCACTATATAGGGATAATGTTCTCAGCTGACATGAAGTGGAAAGACTATACTGAATCCATTGTGTCATGCTAGACAATTTTTTCTCTAGAATCTATCTTACATATCTATGAGTCTACCATTTGCCAATGCTTAGAATATGGCTGCCACACATAGCTCCTAGAGATTCTTTTTAAAATCCAAAGAAGAATCAGCAATATTATTGGTTCTGACCTGGCATCTCGGCTTCATTCATTCTCCCACCATTTTAAAGTAACTTCCTTGTGCTTTTTCTATGAATACTTTCATGGTAATTGTTTAGATGAGCTCTTTGTTATGGTATGCTTATTGGCTTCTTCTATTTCTGTCCCCATTTTTCTTTTGTTTAATTCTCCATCCCCTCCCTTGTTAGGTGGTCAGTGATGTTAGTTTTCTGGTAGATGCAGGACACCATTTGTTTCGGGTGTGATTTTTCCATTTGTTGTTGTGCCTGAATGAGTGTGTGTTTGAGTAAATGCTTGGGATGAATGAAAGTTTTATATTATTAAAATCCCGCATTGATTTTGTCCGGTTAACTGATGTTTCTATCACATTTAGGGATTGTGGTGTGGAGGGAGGGGAGGGTGTTATTACTATTATTATTTTGTTTAGTTTCTTATAAATAGTTTTGTACATTTTTGTAAATATTCATTGGGGTTAGATTTTTAAATTTGTTGTTTTATTCCTCCCACCACCCCAAAACAATGAATTGTATATATGGGGCTTTGTTAGGACTTTCATAGAGACAATGAGGTATTATGGTGAATGTAGTAAGAAAGGTAAGTAAGAATATGGTGGTGTTATCAATATTGTTGTACGTTTGGGTCAGTGTTTGTGGCTAGCTAAGTTTAACGTTAAGACAGAACAAGACCGTCCTTTTCTCCATTCCCCATTTTGGCCTTGTGCCACATTTCTGTACATAGCAGAATAAATACCACTCTTCACAATGATATCTAGAATTTAAGTGCAGTACTAGATTAACATGAAGGTCTCATTGATATACAGTCGAATTGGCTAGATGTAACTGTAAGTTCTATGGTAACAGTTTTTTTTTGTGCACTCCCTGCTTGAGGAACTCTCTTCCAGGGTTTTGCTTTCCAGTCAAGTTTAATCTTCAAAACTTTAAATGCAATGTCAATCATTATCAACAATCTTTTTAATTCCTGTTTTTCGTTTTTTTATTGGTCTTGCTGCTTAACAATGTTTTTCTTATATTCTTTCACACTCAGTAACCCTGTACATGTTAGTGGCTTTATTGTCTCGCTTGGGGTAAAATGATTAAAAAAAATATTCAGAAACGCTATGCTGTATCACAAAGACAGAATAATCGAGAATTGTTACTTTTAACCCCAGAAACTATGGAACAGAAATGAGAAGTATTCAAAAGAGAGACGAGTTCACACTGCATGCAAACTATATTGATTTTCATAGCAAGCCTAAATAAATTTAACTATATTGATTTAACTATATTGATTTTCATAGAAAGCCTAAATAATTAATGTCTTAGGTTTCAAAGTAAACGTTATCTTTGTACATTAAAGAGCATTATGCAGAACTCATACATAAGAGAATGTCTTTTGATGAATTTCAAAACACTTCATATCAGATGAGGCGATGACATTCAATATGCCTTATGGCATCTTTAGAATTTTTTCCTTTCAGCAACACAACAAAAAAATTCAATAACTCTGTAGCGGGTTGGTATTTGGTTTTTCGTCCAATATCAAAAGATGGTAATGTCATTAGACCACAATAAATAACACAAAAACTTGGTTGGAAAATTAAGGGTCAGTTTTTATTGATGCACATGTGTGTACTAAATTCAGATGTAAGAGAGCGGTCGACCTCAAGTCAACATGATGTTGAGAGAGGGTGACTGAATTTCCTTTCCTGCAAAACATGTCCGAATC